ACGGGTTACATCCGGGTTTTGGCGGTCATGCATGCGCAGAAGCACTAAATTGCACTTTGCGCATGCACAGAAGCGCCGAATCGCAATCCATGCGTGTGCAGACGCGCCGCTGCAGGTTGCGAACGCTGCAGGTTGCGAATGTGCATCCCGCATGGATCACATTCACAACCCGAGCGTCCACTGTACTTAAAATCCTTTGCTTATTAGGGGCTACCCCACATTTTGTTCGAAACATTTCTTTGCAGAGGTAACAACCATAGGGTTATCAAAATTTTCAAAAGTAGGGGGTCCGTGGCTTGGCTTTTGAACAATAGGGGGTCCTATTGGAAACCACTGGTCTAGAGTGAATCATACACCACAGATTCATAGATAGCAAAATTCAGCTTGTCATACGTCCAGGAGAAACCTTACCAGCTGGACTTCACTAATTAAAGAGAGGTGCCTGTTCACAATGATAGCTTAACATTCTTCTTCTCAACCTCCCTTCAAAATAAAAAAATAAAAAATAATAGATTCTGATTATGAACTCTTCTAGCGGAACTGCTGCTGCAAAATGCATATGGTAAATGGAAGTTAGTACTGTCTGCACAGATGGCTTGATACTTATTTGTATATTGCTAGAACCAGAAACATAAATATTATTTGCTGCATTTGTTTCCCGCCCTTCCTCCAAGAAATTCAGAATAGAGCATTTTAACCTCACATGCCCCCAGAATGTCAGGGTTGGAAAACAGGAACCTGCTCATGGTCACACAAAATTTTTTTGCGGGCATTTAAGATTCACACTGAATATTTCTTGCAATCATGCCTACTCATTAGCAACTCATTCGTCTTCTGTGCTGTTAGTATACTATATTTATTTGAGAGTGAAGCTGCTTAAAGGCTGGGGAGGGGGGAATATGAGCTCACAAAATATGAAGATGACAAAAGATGCAGAGATTGCACTTTGTATAATAAAATGATAATGCTATGCTATATCTGACAGATTTGAAAAATCAGGGGATAGTGATATGAACATCAACAAGATATAGTCTATTGCCACTGGAGCAGAGGCAGTTTTAGAACAGCACAGCTGGTTTAGGAGCTGCGCTGCAGGAGGCGCTACACCAATTCTGTAAAACAGTGCGAATTTTAGCATCACTCGGTAAAATTTTAGCGTCACACGGTGGGGGCGAATTTTAGCGTCACACGGGGCGCCATTGAAATTTGAGAGCCCAAAGTCTGCAACTGGCTGGAGCATTTTATTCAAGGATACAAGCCAGCCCTGGAACAAAATGTTGCAGTGTGAAGTTCTTCTGTTCAGTTTTTGTCAGCCAGTGATGCTGTTCTCAAGGATATTCCATTCCATTCCACCTCCCACACAGTTTTTCACCCCACACCCCAATAGTTACCATTCCGTGGCTACTCTGTCCTCTTTGGGCTGTTTTGAACAGTTTTCTCCTCCTTAGCTCCCCCCCCCCCCAATGTTTTTTGTGTTGCTGCAAACCTTTGGTGATTCCCTGAGCCTGCTGATAATACTGAGGTTTATCTATGCCTGCTATGGTTTACCTGAACCAGTTATACATACACACACAATGCAAACACTGCTGGTGCAAAATTTGGTATCTCAGTATGTTCATTTTTCATTTTAATAGCCCAACAAGCCTGAAACTCAACCAAAAACCCCAGATTCTGGAAACAGAATTACCAGGTCTGAAGGCATACGAGGCCAGCCCCCACCCTTGCAGAAACTAAGCTGGTCTGGGTCTTGTTGGTTTCTGGATGAGAAGAGATTGCCAAGGACCCTCATGTATGTTGCCTTGAGTTGGAGGAAAGGGGAGATACAGATGTAAATAATAATAATAATAATAATAATAATAATAATAATAATACTTACCTACTGTGTTTATCTTTTTGCCAAGACATTTAACTCGGTTCACATTTAAAATGCGGATCATCCTCCTCGGTCCCCTTCCTCTGCAGAGAGGAAAAGGTGCTGAAAGCCTAAATCTCAGCAGGAAGTGATAGTGACAAGGTTTCAGATCATTCTCTTCCTGCCCAGTTGAGAAAACCAGGTCCAGTGTGAGGCCTGCCATATGCATTGGGCTGGTGACATGTTGAGAAAACCTCATGGTCGTCATGGCAGCCATGAAGTCCTGAGCCAACCCAGAGCCAGTTGCCTCAGCATGGATGTTGAAGACCCTCCGAACCAGCAGTCTGGGAGTCTTCAAAACCACCTGTGTGACCAGCTCTGTCAGCTGAGGCAAGCAGACTGTTGGGCAGCAAGCTGCGCGGTAAACCAGCAAAATCCCTAATCTGTCCCAGTTGCCCAATGCCAGGAACACTTGATGCTATCTGGAAAACTGACTTCGACACTCCACACAGGTCTGTGTTTTCCAGCCACTGTTTCTTAGACTCTCACTTGCTCAGTATTTCATGTATCACTTTATTCATTAGCAAAGATGGAGTAAAGGAGGGGGGAAGCCAATAACATAGGATATCTCGGAAGCCAGTGCACTCAAAACAAACCATTCAACTTAAACATGTGCATACAAATTATTCTAACCTGCATGATGTATTTTGAACACAGAATTCTAGACTCTCTGACTGTGGGGGCACTATATAATTTAGAAGAGTCAGTCAGTTCACATAAGCTCAGACTCCTTTCTCCTGCAAGCTTGCTGATGAAGACTCAAGAATGGTTCAGCAATGGTTTATCTGCCCATCTGTTCAGACCAGATTGGCGCCAGAAGATTGGGATCCATACTGGGATTTCCCACCAGTTTCCTAAAGTGAAATCAGATTAGCTCTAAGAACCAAATCTGTACAACCAAAACAATTAACTACAGTAATGTATCTAGTTTCACACAGATTTTAATTAAGATGGAACAGTGAGATTTCACTGCACCTACTAAATCTAGAGATCCTGTTAAGTTTGGTGGGAGGGGGAAACAGACTTCACATCAGGATTTTGTGCAAGAGAAAAATTATAACTGCAAGAAAATTCATGAGAATCTTACCTAGTTCTAGTAGTGGCAAATATTTAGAAATAAATGATGCTTCCAGTGAGGTGTCAGTGAGTAAAAACTATACTTTAATATCCACCTCTCACATGGTGATTTGCTCAGTTCCAGTTCTATTTTCTTTAGGCATGTTCTTCTGAAGTTGAGACTTATTTCCAAGCAGAGTTTTAGATGGACAAGTGCATTTTGGATCAGAATGGTAAACTTATCAGCAACCAGATCCTAAACGTGTTTCCTTGGAGTACAAGCAGGCAGCCTTATCCAATGTATGTTGACTTTGAAGGCAGTTCCGCTAAGTTTAATGGACAAACTCTTTGAGTAAGTGATTGTAGCCATAATCCCAGTGACTAAAATTCTAAAAGTATTGTGGCTTAACTGGTTTCTGACTACTGTATCTATTTTTCACTTACATTCCATATGCAGACTGGGGCTTTTTGGTGTGTGTAAAAATAACAAATGTTCCTCTAAACGTTTTAAAAACTTGCTTAAGGAATAACTGCTGTCAAATATATTTTTAAATGTCATGTAAGAGAAGTAAAAGATATTTTTTGTGTTGTATGGAAATGTTTTTGTTTGCATGTGATTGTGTGTTCCATGGTCTCTTTGCACTGAGGACTTTAGAATTGTATGTCCCAATTCATATTCTAGAATTCTGGCTGTTCCAGAATCAAGAAGTATAATAAAATGGACATATACAATCACAGTTTAAAATAAAATTATTCTCACTGCATTTGTTTCACAAACAGTCTGTGAACAAGGACTGTGCACCTTTGAACCCACTGGCTGCACAGTGGCTCATTGGACATCAGAATCAGTGGAAGTAGATCCAGTACATTTATTCATGCAGTACACTAATCCTATAGAACTGTATGATTTCATGACCACAAAATCATTGCATGGTGGTTCAGAAATATAGGACATGCTTTTTTCCCTAAGAGATAACATTTTAGCTCATTATTCAGCGGTTTAATGGTTTTAATTTGGAATAGTTTAAGAAGGCTACGTAGAAGGTTGGTGCAAGGCATTATGGAATTAAAAGGCTGCAGTCCACTCCAAGCGAGGCATGTGCATGTTAATTTTAATGTGCTGTCTCAAAGTACAGAAATCCGGGCATTTCCAGCATCATATTTAAAACATGGTACATTGAACTAATACGTGATCTGGGGCACTAATGAGGCAAATTAAGTTACAGGTATGAATTTTACATTAAATGGATTAATATTATATGGCATGGAGGAATTTTAAATACCCTATCGCCATGAATTTTTAATAGTTATGTGCTCTAATTTAATGTTGCAAGGCAATTGCTTTTCTTAAGAGAAGCCCCCCCCTCCAGCCCCCCTCCTCCACACACTTCTCCGCATTCAAGTTTGGATCTGATTATTATCTGCTAAATACCCTGGGTGTCAATAAATATGACGGGAGGGGGTGGGTGAAAGAATCCTAGAGATATGAAAATGCTCTGAATGGAACTGGAAGCTGCTGTCTTCTTCAGGGACTAGCTGGTGAAGTGATAATTAAGCAGCCTGAAGAATAAATGTTGCGCGGAGACGGCGGGGGGGGGGAGATAACAATCGGCCATTGCTTCTTCTCGGCCTCGGGGCGAGATCACGAGAAGAGCAGCGCCTGTCACTATGCAAGGCTGTGGCGAGGGCTCCGCGAGCCGCTGGGGAAAGCGAGATCCCGGCAGGCGAGGAGCGAGAGCGAATTCCATTCGCATTCCCGCAGTTCTTCGGAAGGAACTTCTTTTCCCCTCCCTCCCTCCTTCCCTCCTTCCCTCTCTCTCTCTCAATCTCTCCTCCCTCGGGTTCAAAAACCTCCCTTTTCGCCGAGACCCTACACAGCGTTTGACAGAATGGAGCCGCTCGCCATTGGCTGGCGCGGCGTTCCGTAGAGAAAACTGCCGCTGCCGATTGGCTAAAGCGCGGCGCTCAATACTCGTGCCTCACTTCTTTCTCTTTTTTACATACACATCGCCCCTCCCTTACTCTTGTGTGTCTCTCCCACCCCCTCGCTCTTTTCTCTCGCTCGCTCTTTTCTCTCCTTTTCCTTGGGCCCGGGCAGCGCGCGCCCCGCCCAGCTTCTACCCCGCGCTAGATATATATACGGCGGCGTTGCAAACTGGGCTGAGCAGAGCCGGGTTGGGACTGGAGTGGCGGCAGAAGGGAAGGAGGGGAAGTAAGCAGCCCGCTAGGTATACAGTATAGCTATAGATATATTGCTTGGGTAGGTGGCGGCTGGAATTTATCCATTTTTATTTTTCCTTTTTACACGGTTTTCTCCCGCTGCTTCCTGTTTTTCTCCCTCCCCCTCGTCGCGCACCCCGTTTGCAAAACCCGGACTCTCCGTTGTTTTGATTTGCCCACCGCTGGCTGCATCGCCTCTTGTCTTGCTTGCACTGCGGGTGGGAGCTGCTTGGCCGGGGCGCCCGAGGGCTCTGCCCGCCCGCCGGCGTTTCTTTTGCACCATGAAAGCGGTGAGTCCCGTGCGACACCCCAGCAGGAAGGCGCTGGCGGGCTGCTGTTGCGGAGGAGGAGGTGGAGGTGGAGGCGGCGGCGACCTGGCGCTGCGTTGCCTGGCCGAGCACGGCTGCTACAAGGGGAGCCCGTCTCCGGGCGAGGAGCCGGCGGCGCTGTGCCTCCAGTGCGATATGAATGACTGTTACAGCCGCCTCCGGAAGCTGGTGCCCACCATCCCGCCCAACAAGCGGGTCAGCAAAGTGGAGATCTTGCAGCATGTCATCGACTACATCCTCGACCTGCAGCTGGCCCTCGAGACGCACCCGGCGCTGCTCCGGCAACAGCAGCAGCAGCAGCCGCCGCTGCCGCCTCCCCCGCTGCACCCGGCCAGCTACCCGGCAGGGCCTCCCAGGACCCCGCTCACAGCGCTCAACAGCGACCCGGTAAGAGCCGCGGCGGCGGCAGCGGGCAGAGAAGCCGGGCGCTGCTCGTAGCTCCGACGGGCCGGGGAGGGGAGAGAGAGGCGCGCCGGGTTGGGCAGCGGTAGGAGCGCACACGCGCCGCTCAACTCCGCCGGGGCGCTCGGAGGCGGGACGCCGTGCGCCCCCAGAGCGGGAGGAATGGATGGATGGATAAACGGGTGGCCGTGGCCCTCCTGCTTTTTATGGAGCGAGAACCTGCTCCTCTTTCTCCCCCCCTCCCGTAGCGAAAAGACCTAGAGCAGATCATTGGGGGGGGGGGGCAAAGTAGAGCCCCGAGGTTGCGATCCACCGACCCTCGAAAGCTCGGGAGTGCTTTCATGTGAAGGGTCCATTTCGGGGCCCCGTTAAGCGATTGGGTGCAAGATCGGGTCCCGACACTGCGATCCACCAGACAATGAAGTCGGGGCGTGGGGATCTTTGGAGCGACCCCCCATCCTCAAAGCTTCCCCCTTCCCTCCTTTGGTGATGTCTGATTTAGGTAGAGTGCGCGCCTGCCGGACACGGACAATTGTTCTTCCTGTATTTTGTACAGCATCTAGCATACGGTGGCAGCCTGCAGTCTGCAGAATACTAGCATCGGATCGGGTGCCGACCTCTGCAGGAGGGAAGCTCGTTAAATCCCGACAATATGGGTTAATTGGCTTGTGGGTTGCAAATTGCACGTGAAATTGGGTTGCCTGTGTTTTTGTGCAAGTGCCAATATAGACACATAACTGCACACTTAACAGAGTGCAAGATGCAATTTGCACATGTATACCTATGTGTACACATACAGACTGTATTGTCATTCGGTAGCTATACATATGCACTACATAGCCTTTCTGTTTCAGCTGGTGTGCAGCAAAGTGGATCTAGCCTTTGCATGTTTCCAGGCGCATAATTCACTTAACGTGCCACTTGTATATGCCTCATATGCAGCCTACTTCCATTTCTTGGAATGGGCTTTATTTCCCCATCTCACATGGGAGGTCTTCTTATGGAGCCAGTGTGGATACAGATGCATATCGGCACACATCTGCCTCACAGTGCTGAGCTGGGTCCCACAGATCGGGCTGGACACAGCTTTGGAAGAGAACTGAGATACCTACTGCATCCACTAGTTGTGGTGTTTATGACTAGAGGTGGCTTGGGGTCAGTGCATTTAGGACTAGACCATTAAAAATACAAAATACAAGCACTCCAGATGGGTAGGAATATTAATTGTTTCAATTAATATTATGTGAGACTAGACTACCATCATCTTTCCCTATGATCTACCATCCCCTGCAGTGAAGATCTACTCAAAGAAAGAATCGTGCTCCAGTTGTTCAGTTAACAAACTCACACCTCTTGTCAAATCTCTGGGTTTTGCTATGGATGATGCCCTTCCTTGGTTGCACAGGGGAAGCACATGACCCTCAGCTGCAACTGGGGTCCCTGTGGGTCTGCAAAGCAAGAGGCTGTCACGTTTGGCAGCATGCAACCTGTCACTAGTTGCTAGCCCAGGAGGGGATCCATAGAGAGCTTGCAGTTTCCTCTGCCCCTTTGTGAGGTTGTCCTGCTTCCCTTTATTGTGGGGCTTCTCAGCCTTCTAGAGAGCCACGCGAGGAAGGTTGCCGATTGCTAAGCTTGTTGTTTGTGCTAACTCTAACGCCGCACTCCTGTTCTCTCGTTACTGTGCAGGCTGGGGCTGTTAATAAGCCAGGGGACAGTATTCTGTGCCGCTGAACTGCACTTGCAAGGTGAGTATCCTCTTTTTAAGATTTGGTGTGTCAGCAGAGCTGGGGTCAGGGTCCTTTGCCGTGCATGTTGGTTTCCATCTAAGGCTGCAATTCTAGGTACACTTACCTGGAACCAAGTCTCGTACAATTCCCTAGGCCTTCAAAGTAAATATAGTTGGGATCAGGTTGTAATTCTTGCTCAACAATTAGGCACTCCAGTCTCAGGCACACTTACTGGAAACTGAGTACAATTGGAACCGTAGGACATGAGTACCTGTTAGACGTATTTACACTTCGTATGCTAGGCTGCAATTTACCAGCTAATTCAGGCAGATTTAAGATTTAAACCAATGTAATCCAGTCAATTCAATTGTTCAGTTGTTCTGGCTTAATGATTTTGTGACTCAGGTTCAAACGTACACTTATTTTCTATTTAATTCTACACGTTTACCTTACAGGGGCAGGTCAATGTGTATACACTTATTTATTTACTATATATATAGGATTGTGGCAGGTTAAATAAAATCAACCTTTTCAATAAATTCCAGATAGTGTACATTAAATAAAACAGCGGGGGGAAACAATGCACTTTCTCATATTCCTTTAAGGAAGAGGAGTGTTGCATTTTTGTCTACATCTTCAGGCTCTTAACTGGTTCACAGATCAGGCCGTCTCCTTGGCATGTTCCTTAGGAGTTCTGTCCCTTCCCATAAAAGCAATGAATAATACATTTATGGAAATGTTGGTTGTCTTAAAGGAATTCTTTGACAGTCAGGCTGTGATCTGCACACCCACTTGCTGGGAAGCAAGTCCCATTTAACTCCATGCGACTTGCTGCCAAGTAAACATGCCTAGGACGGGGCGCAGTGTTTTCTTGCCCCTCTGCCCGATCTGCAGCAACAAGAGATGGGAGGAAGGACGAGGAGGAGGGAAACTCCTTCTTTCTTTTTCTCTTCCACTCTCCTCCGGAGAGCTTCTAGCTTGGACCTGCAGCTGTGTGTTCCCCTGCTTGGCCTAGCCTGGGAGCTGCGGTTGTTGTTTGACCTGGTTTGTTTTGGGTTGTTGATCAAGCATGTCTTCTGTTTTGTTGGTGGCGCCAGTCAGTCTGGAGCAGAATGGTTCACACCCCCACTCTATTCATTCCTCTTCCACAGGTGTGCAGCAGGCAGATCCTGAGCCAGAGACGCAGAAAGAAAGACACATTAGAGAGGGAGGGGAAAAAAGAAAGAAAGAAATGTCAGCCACTGGGCAGAAGGAAAAATAATAATAAATCAACTACTCCAGAATTCTTTCCATACTTCCTTTAGAAAAAAAGAGAAAGAGAGGAAAAAAAAAATTCACAACTTTGCACGTTCATAGCATTTTACACACATGTCTCTTAACTCTTTTGTTTTAGATCAGATGTGAATTGTACACTTGTCTGGGAGGGAGGGGGGTTAAATCTTCAGAATACGTAAGTGTGGCCCTTCTGTTGATAGAAGATCAGGGGCAAATCAGAGTTTAGAAGTATAACTTTAATGCGCTGAGCAGCTGAAAACTGAAGCTTTACTAATCTACCAGAGGCGTTGTAGATAACTTTTGTTTTGACATCTATTGTTTAAAATAGATGATTTTATTGTTTCCTCAGGGACTTTCTTCTCCCTGCAGGAGTGTTACATATTGTATAGATTAAAAAAAAAAAATGAGTGACATTTCATACTATGTATATAGAGAGAGGTTCTATAAGTGTGAGAAAAGTATATGCTTTAATAGACCTACTGTAATTATAAAATATTTTTAATTAAATATTTTTTTGTAAATATTATAAAGCTGTGTATGTTTTTTTTTAAATCTGTGGGAAGATTTCTTTAGGAAAACTGTTTCTGGCTTAAGTGCAGAACTGCTGATGATGAAAATATGTTGGATGTCGGGGGGGGGGTCTCTTCCTTTCCTCTCCCCCCACCCCCTTTAGCTTCAGAAACCACAGCTGTAGGTAGAGTTGGTCCTGCATGAATGCATGAGATGTCTAACCACAAATAAACTTGTTGAGTCCATACAGATGTGTTTTTCTTTAATTTGAATTTAAAAAGATGTTTGTATCATACGGTTTTGAAGCTACATTTTTGTCTGTTAGGCACAGGGGGTGGTGGTTTATATTACAGTGTATGCGAAACAGCGTTGAGATGTAAGGGTTTTGTTTGTTACGAACTGAGATGACTACTTTTTTCAATATGGGTACAGTGCTGAGGAATAATAATGAGCATTTATAAAATTCTTTTGTTGCCTAAACAGAAATAGGAATCACAAAACACGGAACACTTTTTTAACACCAAGAGGGATGCTACCCCAGAATTTCAGCCCTGTGGCATATTGCTTTGGAAAAACAGTGAAAAACGTTTTCTGCTTATAACCAAAGGGCAAACTATCAACAAATGTACAGTTGCTGTTTCTTTCGTCCAAAGACTATTGATACTGAAACTTGGGGGGGGGGATAGGGGGGGGAGAACAGGGAACATTTCAGTCTGATTACTGGTGTAAATCAATTTCAAAGAACTTAGACCAAAAAATAAAAATCAGATGACTGTATCAAGATTATTTTTCTAATATACAGCAGCATTCATTTCATTACAGCTCTGTTACATCTGAAAATCCTGTTTAGTCTCTTGTTATGTGTAACTTCTACATGTAAACATTAAACTAGATTGACGTGCCCTTGTGCTGTGCTTGGTTTCTTTCTTCAGTACTTGCAGAACTCCTTATTATCTGCTCCACTTTCCTTAAAACGTGGTGCTTAATGGTTAATCTTATAGCAACAGTTTGTATAGTCCATGTTCCACCTCCTGTCCAGCCTCTGAGAAAGGTACACATTTTGTGGGATCATCAGTATTCCACACACCAGTGAGATAGGATTTTCACAGAGTGGGTGAATTAAGTAGGATTTAATTGGGTGCTTTGTAAATAGTTAGCCAACTGTGTGTAGCATGGTCTGCTTGATTTATTTTTTTAAAAAAAGTGGGCGGATTTGTTTCAGATTTTTAAAAGTGTCAAAGTACTTTGGCCTGAGGATCTTTTTTATTCTGTAAAATACTTATGTGCATACTAAAATAATTTATCTACTGACAAATGTGGTAAAAGGTCACTGTTTTCTTAATCAAAATGTCTAGTATTTGCAATGAACTTAGCCAAAACACTAGCTTACAGTTGCAAATATGCTGCACCTAACAGTATATATTTTTCTTACTGTAAATACTGTAAATCCACTAAATGAATGGTCTTCACATTCATGTAAGAGCCTAGACACCTGAGTTTGTTTGTTGCCCCAGCGTGAATTTGTTTGAAAGGAGTTTTAATGAACAACAATAGCAGCTGTTTTATAAAACAACCGTTCATAGAAATGAAGAAACGAATGAGGATTTCTTTATGGAGCATACTAAAAGGCTGCTTAGAAGGATTGATAATTCACTGTTGCATTGTGACATCTCAGAAGGAAAATATATCACGCAGGTAGGTCAGCTCTCTGCTGGGGATTACCAAAATTGTTCTCAGGCTTCAGTTTAGTTAAGGTTAAAGAACACTTGCATCCACATGTGTACATGGAAAAGGTACTATTTTTGTGCAGAACAAGAGGAGAGGGAAATAATCAAAGACGTGCTTGAGTTGCTGTTCGCTGCTATTACTGTGTCTCATTCTAAGGGCAAGAGAAAAAGGCAGTTTGGAGGTTTGGATGGGCTTGCAGTTGCCCTTGCATGTCATTTGCATGCTGCAATACCTGCTTCATCTCAGAAGTCACTTGAGCCTTTTTCACAAGTGACACTAAGAATACCTTTGAGTCTAGAACATTTCCAGTGTGGATGTTAATGCAGTGCAGTGTGCAAAATAAAGCACATCCATGCCACTTAGATCCTCTCAATCAATTCGCATAGCGGGTGTGAGAGATGCAAAAGCCAATCCAAATGTGTCTTTTCAACGCGACCTTGCTCCAGCGAAACCTCAAAACTATTTTCATCCTCATTAGCTTGAATAATAATGATAAAAGGCTCCTCCCAAAGTGGTCCATCGCTGTCGTGTACTGAAGGCCACCTTCTGTGCTGCTGACTGCTCAGTTCGATGGTTATTCCTTGCATAGTGACATTGAGAAGCAAGTACATCCTTGTAAGTGGAATAAATGTTTGGTTTACGCTGTAAAAGCAGTGCTAGCCGGCCAGTTAAATCCGGAGTTTCAGTTGCACTATCAACAAGCAGTTAAACTTGCGCAGGCGGCTGGAACTTGCAGAAATGAGCCAACCTTGAAATGAGAATAGGACTGACAATAGGATTCACCGGAATAATTTCAAAGCGGCGTTCCAGTTTCTTACAAGCTACTTTCGCTGTTCCACAGAATAACCCAATTCTTCAGTAAACTCTTCCAAATAATTGACTGGATGCTCATTGTCCACTTATACAAAACTAAATAACCTGATCATTGCTGGAAATATTAAACACCTCTGACAGGCCGTTTAGTATCCAAAGTACATAATAATGATTGACAAAAGACATCACCATGTAAGGTGAAATAGGAAAGATCCATTACATACACTGGTTGCAATCTACGGCTTCATTTCCAGGCTTCTCTTACCACTTTAATGACGGCACCAACACTCACTTAGGACTGGAGAAACTAGGTTGAGCTGCTGTGACATTTTTATAATACTTAAGTGCTTTTCCTCTTCACAGACCTGCTGTCTAGGCATGTGGAAGTAAGTTCCACAGCTGTAAATGCAACTTACACAACAAGAGCTTTTCTGGATGAGGCCAAAGGCTCATTTTCTCCCAGTAGCCAACCAGATGCTTATGGAAAACATGGGACCTTAGTGTAAGAGCACAGTCCACCTTTGCAATTCCCAGAAATTGCTATTCAGAAGCAAACTGCTTACCTCCAAATGTACATAGGACTTTTAGGTGGAGGGAGGTACTTAGGAAGGTGAAGCTTGCATATTTGAGATACTTTTAGGCAAACTTAACAGCAGAGCAAGAAACGTCTGTACTAGTGCAGTTTCCCCCAATAGGGGGAGTATTGTGCAACATCTCTTACCAACTTGTCTCCTGCGTATTCTCCGCTCCTACAGGATGCCAAGGAGAGTGGTTGCTATTGCCTAATGTAGGAGAAGCCAAGCAAATAAGTGCAATAAGATAAACATAGTACTGCACCCTGCCCTGTCATGGCTGCCACCTGATAGTAGGATTGCTGACTGGAGGAGGCTGGGAAAGAGTGTGGATAATCACTGTTTATTGCTCTGTCCGCACTGATTCCTAAATATCTCTGCAGCATCTGTACAGCCATGGAGGATCTCAGTGCAAATGTTAGCCCAATGCTGTTTATGTGAGTCTCACTTTGGGCAGGTCATTGGATCAATACCTGCACCACACCTACAATATGTTGATGCTTTTTATCTTTGTGATATATGAGTTGACAAAGATGTCTCTGGATTCCACAGTGGGAAGAAAGCATGCGAGATGTGTGTGTGGGGGGGAATGCTACGCATCTTTACCCAGAAGTAAAAACCACCAAGTTCAGTGAAACCCCCTGCAAGGTGCGCATAAGATTGCAGCCTTGGCTTAATAACTAGGTGGCAGTTTGCAGAGGGTTGCTAAAGCAGAACCCCATTACCTTATACTTTTTATTTCTCAGGGAAAAAATTCCTGCGGAACCATAGACAAGGAGAGCAGATCTGTCTTTTTGTATTTTTAGCTGATCTTTTGTTCACCGAATGCCAATGATTAATGGACTAATACTGACTGTGTGTAATGAAAAGTAACAGCAAGGTTGTGGGTTTTGCAGTCTCTACATGATGATAAAGGCAACGGAATTGGTGTCAAAATGTAGGAACTGCTACTAACGTTTTCCTTGTCAGAAGTTATTCAGGTATGAGATGTTTTGCAGGTAAACACATTTTAGTAACAGAGAAGCAACTGGATATACACCCTGATTACCACAGGGGTTACTGTACACCAATACTCCATTAATTAACATATATAGTATTTCTGAGGAGATAAAAAATACTCTGCAAATATACCATTTTTATGCTTCTGATGTTGAACTGTATTTGTACCAGCAAAAGAATTTACACACTTGTTTTAGTTGCAATGCCATGTCACAAGCTGCATTGTATGTCCCAATATTTAAATTAATTCTAAATCACTCCTCTGGTTCTCAAGCTTTTATTACAGTTATGTGCAATTTGTAAAATTTAATTAATAGTACAATAAAATCCGTTTCTCAAAAATGGAACATGTTTCCAAATACAAAATGTGTACCTGGAGATATAGGCTAAACTGCAATGAAACAACATGAAGTCTTGATATGTTTGCTTTTTTGTGACTTCTTTTTATCCCTCATGGAGCATTCTAGAGCTTTAGCCACAGAGCTTGTGCTACGCCTGCCTCCAAGAAAGAGGGCATCTCTAATCCACAAAAGAAACATTTCAACCAACCAACATAATACACACTAGAAACAGCTTCAGTGCAATCCTAGACGTGTTTGCTCAGAAGTAAGTCCCACTGTTAGGATTTAGTAGCAGCAGAATCCCATAGGTCTACTCAGAAATCAGTCCCAGTGAGTTCAGTGTGTAAATAACCTCAGCATTGCTCTTGATGTCATCAATATCTTCTAAAATACATAATTTGGGTGAAATCCATTCAATGAAGACTGGCTTTTCCCAGATATCTAAGTGGATTGCATGAACTGTATATCCTTATACTTGCATGAGACCAGAAGATTATGAGCCTTGGCTAGAGGAACATGATTCCTGATTTTGAACAGTGTATGGTTCAAAGGAACCTGTGTACAAATTTGCGCCAAACAAACCCTAGTATTAACAAGTTAAGAAGTTATAAGGATAAGAGTCCTTCAACATTAATCTCCCTGATATCTAATAATAATAATAATTTATTATTTATACCCTGCCCATCTGTCTGGGTTTCCCCAGCCACTCTGGGTGGCTCCCAACGGAATTAAAAGCACAATAAAACATCAAACATTAAAAACTTCCCTAAACAGGGCTGCCTTCAGATGTCTTGTAAAAGTCATTTAGTTGTTTATTTCCTTGACATCTGATGGGAGGGTGTTCCACAGGGCAGGCACCACTACCAAGAAGGCCCTCTGCCTGGTTCCCTGTAACCTCACTTCTCGCAGAGAGGGAACTGCCAGAAGGCCCTCAGAGCTGGACCTCTGTGTCCAGGCTGAACAATGGGAGTGGAGACGCTCCTTCAGGTATACTGGACCAAGGCCATTTAGGGCTTTAAAGGTCAGCACCAACACTTTGAATTGTGCTGGGAAACATAATGAATATGTTTCTATCCAAGGTTGCGTACAGATTTCCTTTTACTCTGCAACCAGTGTGCTCCCACCACTAGTTTGTGAAGCTATGTGCACACATTAGCCACAACCCACGTGTATCCTGTAGTTTCTTGAGAAATGCTGTATTTTGATGCATCTTCTCTGAACACAGCTTCAGTGCAATTTGAATTCGTAGGCCAGATGAAGACAAATGTGCCCTCTCTCCAACTGCTGGTAGCCGACTACATAGAAACATATCCTGTCACACTGATGTGTACAACGATGTGCAAACGCAAGTTGAATCAGAACTGGGGAATCAAGCTTGTAGCTGTGTTTTAAACCAGTAATGTGTACCCAGCACAAATCAGTTCCACTCTTGGTTTAACTACCTCACAG